TTAAATTTTTTTTCTCAATTTTACATTTTTACTCCCTATTAGGACTTCATCATTTTTTTTTTCTGAAATTAAGGCCTAATTATTCCTTTAAAAGAAACTTAATAACTTTTCTATCTTGAAAAAGAACACTAGGTACACATGGAAGTATTCACCCTCCAAGTATTCGATTTTAGATTAAGCTTTTGATGGTTTACATGTATTCATCCTCCTCTTCTAAAGGAATAATTAGGTCTATTTGGGGATTATGCCATGGTTGCTTTGTATGGAAGTATTCATTCTCCAAGTATTCTATTTTAAATTAATATTTGTCTAACTTGTATAGTAAGAGTGTAAATTAAGAATATATTGAATATATTTTTTTATTATAAATTTATATTAAAATAATAAAAATTAATTTTTAATTTATTAATTATCAATTAAATTTATTTAATATTAAAATTAATATCAATTTTTATATTTTTTACATATATTATAATAAAAAAATATATTTAATATTCCTTTAATATTTAAATATATGAATTTAAAAAATCCTCTAAATTAAGCTTTTGATGGTTCGCAGGTACTCATCCTCCTTTTCTAAAGGAATAATTATGTCTATTAGGGGGCTATGCCATAGTTGCTTTAAAGCAACTATGGCATAGCCCCTAATAGACCTAATTAAGCAACTATGGCATAGCCCCCAAATAGATCTAATTATTCCTTTCGAAGAGGAGGATGAATACCTGCGAACCATCAAAAGCTTGCCCCAAATAGAAATAGTTTAAGCATTTATTTTTATCAGTGAAATGATTTAAGCATCTGAGCGGTTAAAGTAAGGCAAATTTCTAAATTAAGTAGGGGAGACCTTTATAATTTTGCTTCTTCTTTGTTGATTTTATAATTTAATAATATTTAGAATTATTTAGATATTATATCAAATTCATCTAAATATTTGAATTAAAAAAAATTATTTATATATATGTATTTTTGAACATTTTGATATAAGACGGGTTCAAAACTTATTTAGAAAAAGAAAAAATATATTTATTCAATGATTAATGTCATTGCACCTCTAAGGACAGTTGTAATAAATCATTTATATTAAAATTAAGAGATTGGCGAGAAAATTATTTCCTCTTCTCCCCCCAAATATCAAACTTGGATCAAAGAAGGTGAAGAGAAACTTCCACTTCATATCTATAAACTCACATTTTGGAAAGAATGGAAATACAAAATTTAAGAACTGTCTACGAGAAATAGCAGAATTAGTTCTTTACAGAGCATAAAAATGAAAAAACAATGACACAGCAACAGTTACAAGTCTACCTCTCATATCAGAATATCATCAAAATGCTGTTTATGGATTCTGACCCTGAAAAGTGAAAACTCATGTCTTGAAAGGAAGATTTTTTAACAAAGATAATATTGTTTAAGAAGGTATATAGGATGCACTGACTTTACAAAAGAAAGGTTACAATATATTTTAATATTAAGGAGATAAACAAAGAGCTGCATATCCTAAAAAAAAAACTTATCCACAAACCATTCGCATTTGTAAATTGGGGTTACATCAGTTCAGATATGGAAACATATGATTAAAATTTTAATTAATTCTATAGTATTGTTATTAGTGCTTGTCACTTGGGACTTCTAAATTGTTTTTTTTTTTTTGAACAATTGTTATGGGGTCAGATTGAACTGTTGTTCAAGAAAAAAAAATGTGAATCTTTACAAAAGTAATAGATGCCACTCGACCTTATGAACTAAGTTCGAACTTCTAAATTGTTTTGATAGTTCAGGATTTAGACAGAAAAATAAACCAGTTAAATTGACATAATCACCCTCATCTAAGCATCCTGAGAAACCAAAACAACGTTGATTTGGATAAAAGGAGTTTAGATTGACAAACAGTTTTTCCATGAATGCTTTTGCGTTTATGTTATTTAATGTGGAAAGCCGGAAACTATGTATGGTAGGGTCTTGACACTGAGGTTCTAACTAGTTAGAAGTTACATCTAGAGAAAAGAACAGCCCTGAAATCCCAGCTTGGATATAGCAAAAAAAAGTAGTTTTTTTTTTTTCTGGGATGGCTCATCATTCACGAGCATCTCATGACAAGAAGTGTTGTGTTGAGGAAAGACGGGAAGGAATCACGGTGCACCGAGGAAGAAAGTTTGCTGTATCTCAGGGATGTCACATTAGTGATATTTTTTACCAATCACAATATATCATGTCATCATTTTTTTTTTTCTACTTCATTGGCCACATTAGTAATTTTTTTTCATCTCAACAAAATCCATTAATGAGGTGAAAAAAATTGTTAACGTGGCATATTATAATTAACCGAAGATACTATTGACATGATATCCCTAAGATACAACAGACTTTATCACACTAAGGTCTTAATTGACTTAGTTGGTTAGTGAACTTTCCTCTCGCTCATCATTCACAAGCATTTCATGACACTTTGGAAGTGTTGGTGAACTTTTCCCTCGCTTTATGAATCTGGTTTGGTTTCCCTAAAGAATTGATGATCTTAACTCTCATTTTAATAATCTGCTCTAATCTAATCTCTATAACAAGGTGACAGAGAAAATAACAAGAGATGTGATAAAGCTATGGAGTTAGTACGCAATCTGAAATATCATGAATTCACGAGAAAGTTGATAGAAGTTGCAATTTTCCAAGATGACACTATCAAAGACAACACATGATGATGGAACAACTGCAAATAAAATCACTAAGAGTATGATATTTTTGACACGAATAAGATTGATTAGCTCAGTGTCATTGCCAATAGCAGCAACAACAATGGTAGTAACTAGTAACTAGTAACTTTAAACTGTGTTGAACAGCGGAAGTGTGAGCATTTATCAATAATTAAAACCCAAGAAAATGGAACTGAAGCTGGAATGATATGATATTGTAGCAAATGTGAAGTGCTCATTCAAGATAATTCATTACCACATCCAATTAGTCATCTGATAATGCTAAAGTCCATCGAGATGAAGAACACCAGAGATATAATGCAGAATGCATAGGCCAATGAAAAAGAAGAAAAGAAATCCCTGCCCCCACACAGAAATTAAGCTGCAATGACAAACAATTAATAGCTAATCAATCATTGTTGTCAGGATTCACAGAGAGCAACATGGGTAGCTTCAGTCATTCAAGCCAGGTGAATAGCTTCATATTTGCATAATTCAGTTTTCTTACCCCGTAAGGGACATCCTAATGGGTTGAACATGAAACTTTCAACTTAAAATTCTCATGTTCAAACTTTGATACGAGATGTGAGGTATTTGGGAAAAAACTATCTTGTCATCCCTACAATTGAAATATCAGATGTAACATAAAGAATAATTCAGTTCCCTCATTCTTCATGCCCATATATGCAGGATAACATACGAACTTTTGGCATGCCAGCAATACTAAATCTAAAGCCAAGGCATTCTTATTTCTCAAACCATAAAACAAGAATACTGCATTATGTATATACAACAAAATTGGTACACTAACGCAAGCATGGATTCAATTACAAAAAGGAAAAGCCATTGTGCCAAAATTCCCTAGCCCTCAAGAATAGCATTATTTATATTTGAATTATGTAATTTCTTATATGATTCAAGCAACACCCACCAACCATATGCACTATTATTTTCCTTTTTTTGTTCACAAATTTATCTTCATTAATTACATAAAAATACAAAAAAGAAAAAAGAAAAAAGAAAAAAGAAAAAAGAAAAAGGGAAGAATGGCCTAACCCGAATCCGTTCCCTAAACCGACCCATTTTCTGTATTCTCTTCCTCTGAAGCTCTCCACCTCCATCTCCACAAGCTTCGACTCTCAAGTCCCCAGCTTTAAACACCACCCCCCCCCCCCCCCTCCTTTATTTTTTTGTGCCGGAAAACCCAATTCAAAGAAAACTCAAGGTGTCAAATGAAAATACTGAGGGGGTCCGGCGCAAATGTTTGCCCCTTTTCCGTTCGGGACTTGATGGGGGGCTACCGCCGATTACGATCGAGCACTGACATCCACAGATACTGCTAAAACACGAAAACAGGCTGCCACCCTCGGTCTGCCTCCGGTTGCGTGCGGCTTTCTTGGGGGAACCAAGGATACTAGATCCGTAGCTAGAGTACTGACCGTGGTCGTAAAGTGTCGGTAGCTCCGACCGCCACCGCTCCAGCTTGGAGTCGAGACCTTCGATGCTCCCATCTAGGCTCCACCCAAGTATGGAGCTTTCTGCATCGTCCATCCTTTGCTGCATATTCTTAGCTACATTTGCTGCCACTTCCGACGGCGACGGACCCAGTTCAGAGTCGGTCCAAAATGCTCCCGGCCTCTTGGTAATTCCGTATTCGAACCCATTGTGCTTGGAAAAAAAATTATTCTGAGACCCAAAATCCAACCCAAATGACTTGGTCGGCGGTGACTTTGAGGCGTTTTTATTACCGGTGTCGTATTTCAGCGGCTTCTTGGGGTCTCCGGTATCCTCCACTCCATTAATAATGGATCCACGCTTCTTAGGCGGCCCTATAACCTCTGACTGGGTCACCAAAGATCCATGCTTTTTCCTTGGTTCCCCAACTTCCAACCCGTTCACCATCGAACCCACCTTCCCATTTTTCCCTTTCAGTTTACCCATATGCGACCCATTTACCATGGATCCGCCATTGACCATAGAACCTCCCTTCTGCCTCGTTTCGAAGCCGTTAACCGTAGAACCTCCCTTCGACCTTGGTTCTACGCCGTTGACCGTGGAACCACCGTTGATCATGGACCCATTTAGGACGGAGGCCCTTCTCTTCCGAACCATTGCCTCCGTACCAATAATCGAACTCGAATCACTCTTTGTACGTCGGAGCTCCGGCTTAATTATCCTTTGTTGATGATTAGCGGTGCTATTATTGTTGGTTGGGATGTCTTCCTCGCCCATAAGATGCTTATACCCTAGGGCAGACGAACCCATATGCATATACAAAGGCATACTCCGCTTGGAGCTATCAAGCAGCGCCACCCCAATATTCAAAATCCCCTGTGGTCGCCCCGACGGCCGGCGAACCTGAAGCGCAACGAACCGCATTCCCACCTGCACGTAATGGTCAAACTGCAGCTGTTCCGAAGGTGGAATCAGATTCCCGACAATCACGCGAACCGTACCCACGTGTATGTCACGAAACCAATGCAGCGCGTAGAACTCGATCATGACCGCCGACGTGTCAGCGTACAGAAACGTGTCGTTTACACGGAAGACGAATTTGTCATTCCAGGTGGGGTTGGTGTGGCCCATGGTGTCGACCCGGGTGGTAAGTTTTCGTTCGGGATGGACCCAGGCGACGGCGTAGGTCCGCATTTTTCGGGAGACGGGCTCCAAATCCTGGGCCGAGATGAGATTGATCTCAAGGAGCTGGAAGGGAGCCAATACAGCCATGGTGGCGTAGGCGCAGAGTAGGAATAGGAATGCCAATGGCGATGACAGTTTGGGTGGAGGCGGTAATGACGAATGTTAACTGATGAGGTCCGCTCTCCGTCCGAAGAGCGGACGAAGAGAGGAGAAGGGAGGGGGTCAGGAGAAGATGAGAGGAAGAAGGAGGAGAAAAGCAAGGAGGGCATTGAGGAATGTTGGTGAATGGAGGTCAGTTTTGTCTCAAAACACCGGAAACATTGGTTAGTTTGTTAGTTAACAAACTAATTTTGGGCAACTCATGATGGGCTGTTTTTGTATGATTAATTTGGTCATTCAATTTTTTTTTTTTTTTTAGTTTTAATTAGAACTTTTGGAAGAATTGCTAGAGTTGATGGGTAGAAATAAATGGTTTTGAGAGTAGTGTGTTATGCTATAAAGACATTATATGATCAATGATATGTTAGTTTAAGGAATTTAATTTTTTTAAAATAAAAAAATGAGTTTGAGTTTTGTAAATAAAAAAATAATTTTTGAAATAATTTTTCTTATAGAAAATTCAATGCGAATTAATTTCAAATTAATCAAAATTTAATATGATTATCGAAAATTAAGAGTTTAATATATAAAAAATAAAAATATTATATGACGGTAAAAACCAACTCTACACATAATGCAAATCTAAGTCTATAGTTACTTGGTATTTACAAGGTGATTGTCTGAGAACATGAATTACCATTGAGGCTACCTTTCTACTCATCTAAAAGTCTATGTTCGTAATTCGATGCAATCTAAGGATAAAATAAACACTCATACTAACAAAGCATATCAATACTAATTTATTTCAAATATATATATAAACATTGTCTTCCTGTTCCGTTGGATATATGCTTGCATGGGATTACTTCCGGGTCTGGCATTTTGGATCCCTAGCTCTTCTTCTGTGGTGGTTTCTGGTATTTAGGAGGCTCCGGTGGCGCTTTCCGGTACTTAGGAGACTGCGGTGGTGCCACCCGCGTGATGATCCGATGCAGGGGAACTTGGAACGCACGTCCGATGTTGGCTTCGTCAGTGCGTTGTGAGATGAATCGCATGAGTCGACACGACCAGAACAACTTGGGGAGCCTTGTTCGTCGTCTTGTTCGAAAGGAATGACGACTTCTGCAACAAAGTTCCAAGAGGAAGAGACGGTTTTTGCCCGAAGAAGATGGATCAACGGCAGCTGCTTGAAGATGGATGCGACGAGATGGAAAGGAAGTTGATCATGGACTGATGATGTCGTGATTTCTTCCATTAAATCAATGTTGAGGAGAAAATCAAGAGGGGAAAAGAGAATTGAGATGGGGAAAGTATGTGATGAACTGAGGTTATATAGAGACCTCAACAGGATTTCCTACTCACAGGAGGAATTGGAATTCTATCAAATCAGCGTGCGGAGTACTTCTTTAGCAAGGACCATGGAAAACCGACTTTTCTCTTAATCCCCTTGTGGACGAAGGAGTTGAGAAAGGAACATGGTTATAGCCATGTATATAAATTTTTGTTAAGGTAATACAAAAATATTGTATGTGTGTTTGATTTAATTATTTGGGTAATTTATGGTTTTTAATTGAAAATTAATATTTATTTATAATTTGTTTGAAATTAATTTATGAATTGATATTTGTAAATATATTAATTAATTATAAATAGATAAAATCAATTAAATCAAATAAATTTATAATATATTTGTGTGATTATAACCATTGCCTTGCAAAAGAATTTTGTATTTAGGAGGCCAAATCCACAAATCAATTTCTAAATAAAAGGGTAGAGATATATCTGCTCTTAAAAAAATGATAAAAAGATTTTAACATGTATATCACTTATTAAATAATAAATAATTCATCTTATTTAATAATATAAAAAGATACCTTTTTTTTTTTTTTTTGTAAGACATTACTCCATACCTCCATTTTGGGATTTTTTTTTTTTCTAAGACATCACTCCATACCTCTATTTTGGGGGCAAATTAGGCGTCCACCTCTTTAGAGAGGATGTTAAATAATCTTTTATGAATATTACAGATATTTTGTCATTTTTTTTTTCAAATGAACAATGCTACACTTAAAATAAATAGATTTTTTTAATATTTTTTTTTATTCTTCCAATTATTATAAGGTAGATAATACATTGTGCCACAAACAAAGTAATAAAGAGAACATCAACTACTTAGTCATATGTTTAAGATTTAATCATAGTAACTAGCTACTAAAAAGCCAAACATGTTGGGGTAATTTTTTTTTTTTTAGTAATTTAATTTGGCTTAAATTGAAGGCTCCTAAGAAGTCAAAGAAGTTCATTGTAATTTTCTCCCCCAGTTGAAATCTGCTTGGTAACGTAAATCGGATGCTGACATTTCTACTTTACTCATTATTTTGGGGTCCTTGCAAATACCAAAAGAAGACGACTCAATTCATCTGCCAATTTCTGAAGCTGATACCTTTGTTTGGAGAGATGGAGATTCAGCAATCATGGAGGCTCAGATTCTCTTACAAGACTGCAACCATAGTTTTGATGATAATGAATGCTCTCTTCTTGTTTCGAGGGTTTTTTCCTTCTGCTTCTACCCGCACTAAGCTCTCTTCAAACCACCCAAATTCAGGTTCATCTCTCTCCTTCTTAATCTTTGGTTCGTTTTCTAGTGCAAGTGAACTGTGTTTTCAGATGGGTATTTGACAATTATGGTTGTTATGTTATAATTGTGGTTTGATTTAATGGGTTTTAGTTCTATGACTCCTTTCTGGATTTTTCAACCATGGGTATTTGGAAAATCTAATGCAGTTGATTTGGCTGTTTTTAGTTTCTATTTTTAGTACATAAATAGGTAATCTTTTGTTCCTGGTATGAATTTAAGATTTTGATGCCGAGTTAAGTGACATTTTTCTCTGCTTTGCTGTGTTTTGCTCTTTTTTCTGTCTGAATTTGTTTGAGTCTAGGTTTTGATTTGAATGATTAGATACCTTGAATAAAATCTTTTAATCAGGTTAGTATATATATATATTTTTTATGCAATAGCGTAAATCTGTTGTTTTAATTCCTCGGTGTTTGATGCTGGTGGTTTAAATCCCAATTGCTGATTTTGTTGAAAGCCAAATATGAATCATTATCAAGATTTTAAAAGAATCAATTTACCTTTATGACTGATATTCCAGAAGGTCCTTTCAGAATCATCTATGAGTCCTTTTTGGCATGATATGTCTAATGAGAGAATTGTGATAAAAGGGCATTTTATTTCCTTGACATAGTGATCTTGCTTTAATAAATACCTGAGCAGTTATGTTGTTTGTTTAGCTGTGGATTTTTCATGAATCCACTAATCAAGTGACCAAAGGTTTAATCAAATTAAACTAGAAATGGGCAATGTTAGTTTACACTGATCAGGAATCTGACTTGCTGGCTTCAAACATTGTATATGAATACAAAGTTTTCCATTTCTTTGATTGCCTAAGTGTGTTCATTATCTTGCACTAAGAATTTCTAACTCAGAGCATAATTTTGAAGTGTCTTCAAACTCAGTTGACTCAAAGTACATCAGAGAATCTGAAGAGATACGCCTTGCTATGCGACCTTTGGAGCTGATAAAAAGAGTAAGTGTTGCATTAGGTCTAAAATTTCCACCTCACCATTGGAAAGTCTGACTTAATTGTATCAAACATGAACTGGTATGATGTTTGTTTGTTGATACTTTATATCTCTTTCTCTGCACCTCCTTATCCCTTTGACTTTTGGGGTCTTTTTTGTATGAGTTTTTGACATATGCTGAATAAGGTTGACATTGTTACATTATTGAAGTTCAAAAAGGTAATAGCTGGTTGGATACAGTGCATTTTTCTATGACCATAAATCCTTATTTTAGGTAAGGGAGATTGAGCAAGAGGCATATGCTGAACCAGAGGCAGACCAGGAGAAAGAATCTAAGCAGACTGCAGCAATTGATCTTTCTAAAAGGTTAAAGGACTTCCGTGCTTTCAACGATGCTGCCAGCTTAAAAGGTGACTAACTCTCCCTCACTCCCTCCTTGTTGGTTCTTGATATGCTTTTCTGAAATAAGCTCTTCTTTGCACATAAACCAATGCTTCTTGCTTTTCATGAAAAAATACCAATTGAAGTGGAGGGTCTGCTATATTGTGTGAATTAAAGTATATAAAATAAACCTTTTCTGATCATGTTATGGCAAGTTCCTTTGCCAGCACCGGCACTACAGATTTTAGTAAGATACAATCACTTTCTATAAATTTGTATAGAAAAATATAAAAGCTGACATTAATTTCATTGCCATCGTCAGGTGGATGAAGTTAATTGGATGATTGATAAATTAAATGTCAATTTTTCTCTTCCAAGGCTCTTGACTTGTGCCCTAAGGGCATAGGTTAGAAAAACCCTTTATAAAATTGTAACTCATCGACCATTGTAGAAATCAGCTCACTCACGTTGCATCAAACACATTTAAAATGACTTAATTCTGTTTGGAATATTTGGCCTTGTTTTCCACCTCATGACTAAAAGCTGGATAGGAACTTGGATCAGGTGAACTTAAGTTGCATTTTTCTTTGTCTTTCCTTTACTCCACATAATTTGAAGAGAGATCCTGGTTGTCTTTCCTTAATCTCAAAGTTACCAACTCAGGCTTTTTACAAAAAAGGCTGCGAGGCTATCATTCCTCTCATTTTTATTCTTCATGTATGCAATGCTTCTCAAGGAACCCATAACCCATGTATTAAGAAGGTGCACGTATTGAGTTGCTTTTAGAGAATATACAATTGGCATTCACGGTGCTTCTATTTCACCTTTGAGCTGTGCTGAATTTTTAATATATCAAATCTTTGATTCCAATGAAGCCTGGTTTTGGGAAGGATGTTTTCTTGAGTTTGATACTTAGCATCACATAAAGTTACATGCAAAAACCCAAAAAATCTAACAGTTATTTTGAAAGAGAGAACATATTTGCTTTGAACCTTCTAACCTTTGTCCTAAAAATTTCATTATAGCTTTCATTTATACTTGTGGTGAATCCATGAAGATACTTTTTAACTAACACTGGTGAGCTTTTGCAGCTTTGGAAGAATGGCGGAAACGGAAGATGGAACGGGCTAAACAAAGGGAGCTGGAGAAAAATGGAACGGCTGTTTCTCAAGCTTGATCCATGCCCAACGATTGGCAATCATCCTGCTGAATACACAAAGTATGGATAATCAAACACTACTACCATCATACCCGTGTATATAAAAATTCACAGATGCAAGTTAAAACACTGTTGAAACTTGACCTATCAGATTAGCACTCTGCCAGAAACAAGCTCTTCTGCTCTTTTTGGTTAGTTTAGCACTACTTGGAGTTGCATTTTCTTATGGTTCACTTCAATTGATCTTGCTTTTGTCAAATGAATGTGTTGTCATTAGAACTGTACTATATTGCAAATCACAATCATTAGATTAAAAAAAGGCTCCCTCTATTCAATAGTTGTTGTTTTACATTCTAGTGTAATCTGTATTGCAAAACACCAAATTCTTCCTCTGACATAACTTCCAAAAAGCCTCCCTTCCCAAAAAGGGAGTGTCTTTTGCAGTCATTTTAACATCCTTTATTACATTTTTAGCATTTTACTAATATTGTAAAATGACACTAAATAGCAATTCATGTTACCAGGGTAAAGTTTTCTAGGTTCAGGCGACTAATTCCTTAATACTCTTAAGTTCAACAGAATGGATTATCATTCTAGTTGAGAGTACAAGCAGCATTAAAATCCCCCAGTTTCTGGTAGAGTGGTGCAGCATCTCTGCAAATTCTCCAGCCCCATTATAAACAGGAAACCTAATAATTCATCCATTAACAGAAACAAAAATGAAATTGAGAAACGAAATCCTGTACAGGTTTACAATTCCGACATATGTACAAAGGGGTTAAGAGTTCAAAGTGAGTTCAAAGTCGTGTACAAGCTTACAAGGCAACATGGTGGCAGGTCCAAACGAAAATAGAGCTTACTACGGCTTTTCATTCTACACTTTAGGAGAGGATTACAAAAATGTAGTCAGTCAAAAAGTGTAGCAAGGTCCACAGAAAACAGGTTATCAAAGACTCCTTCCTGGCTTTTCTGAAGTTTCCTAACTACCTCAAGAACCTTTAAAGAAAAAAGAGTAGGCAAGAGAAAGATCAAGATGTGGCGGCAGCCAGCAGGTAATATAGGTCAAAGTTATTTGATAAGAGCTAAAAAGAAAAAATGCTGTGGCACAAGGTAACAATTCAAAGTTATTTGGAATATCATGAAGGGTGATGAGGACCAAAGAACATGGTACATCTCAGAAATTCTTATAGATGCATCACCTCCTACCTGCAAAACATAATATAAACCAGCAACCAAGCATCAATAATTATTCCATTATGTATTCAAAGAAATGGAATAACAAGACTGCAACAAATTCAATCATGATAATGGGAGTATACAGTAGACTAGATATCAAAATGAATACAAAATTATCAGAGCACAGCATCAGAACCAAAAGAACACCCTCAAACAGACCAAAGTTAATGAGATCCACAAATGATGTCAATACAAACCAACTTGTAAACTGTAGATGGGTTGCTCAATATAAGTCTATCCTGTAAAGGCTTAAGCAGATATTGAGTAGCAGCTTGTCAAGTTCTCAATACTCAAATCAAAATAGGAGAAAAAAGTTCAAAAATAAAATAAAAGGACACGGGTTTTGCTCATAATTGTCTTAGGCTACTATTTAAGGAGTACCATTATGCTAAATGCATGAGAAAACACGACATTCATTCAATGTGAACCCCTTACATTAAATGCAAAAGAAATTTTGGTAAAAAATTGTTACAACTGCCTAAAAATAACTAAACAAAACTACATATAAACCATAACCCAAGTTATCAGCTCCTTCCTTTTGAGGAACAAGCTGTCTACAGAAATAGAAGCATGAGCTTGGCAGATGGTAAAACAACTATTCCAGAAAAATGTCAGTCAAATATACACCCTATTGCTGCAAATAGTATACATAATTTCTTTTGGACAAGTTTCTAAAGAAATTCAGAAGAGCACATTGGACCTTGCTTGCAGAGTCCATCATGTCAATCAACAACGTTTCAAAAGCAATTAATAAAAACATCTTGGGCCTGGCCAAAGTAGACCAAAAGTCTTAAGTTTATAGTTTAAGTACATAGGTATAAACTATAAGATTTAATTTACTCAGTTTTACATGCAATGAAGGTCATCTATCTATAGCAATAGGCCTTCATAACTCACCTCATCAAGAATTCTTAGATGTTCCCATGCCATGCCATGCCAAGCCAAGGGATGACAATGCATTTATCAATTTTTTTTTTCTATGAAGATAATGCATTTATCTTCTTTCTTTAATAAGTTAGATGTAGTACCAAGGTGAGGAAGACTGTTGTTGAGAGTAATTGAATACAACCTCTCTCCTAGGAATTAAGGTAACGTATTAAATAGGAGTTGGTGAAACACTACTCTGGGACTGTGTCTAGGTACACCCAGAGAGGACCACTACCTAATTTGGAGGTTGGCTTCATCAAATGTTGGAAACAACAAATCCTCCACAAGAACCTAGGATTCAAGCTCCCATTGGCATTTATCTTCTTTCTTTAATAAGTTAGATGCAGTAATGTAGGAACAACATAAAGTACAGATTTTCCCAAACCAGTAGAGAGAGACCATTCCTATGTATGTGACTGCAGCCTAGAAAGCAATCAACCATCATGCACTATTGTCGTAAAGTACAGCCTACCATCAGAATCACTAGAGAGGCATTAACTGCCCACTTTTATACCATAACGAAGTTAAAATGTAATCCTAACTTTGTACGTTTGTATTTATAGTTCAAGAAAATTATTCATGGTTTCTACTCGCTTTTCGTCTAAATATATATTTTCACCCATGTTGAACAAATCAAAACGCTCTTCTAGATAGCTACGTAGTAGCCATATATCCGCAGCAATAATAGTTAAAAGTGAGAAACCATTATCATCCTTCCATGAGAGGAGAACAGAGAGACAAGAAGAAAAAAAACCCAGGGAGGTGACAGAAAGAATTAAAAGAACCAAAAAGAAGAAAAATAGCAGGATCAACAAATATCAAAATTGAGTGGGCAAAGTCATGGAAACATCCAACAATGAGATAACAAAGTGGTCATCTGGAAGGTGAAAGGTGAGAAAATTACCATAACATCCAACATGCCCCTTAAAATCCAAGTTAATCTGTTTTCAACATTGCTAATAAATTTGTAACAGGAAATTTTCTAAATTACAAAACACCTTTTATATAATATATGCTACCAAGAGCATGAAAATCACAAGACTACATAATTAGTGGATGAGGCATCATTGAGAATGGCTAAAATATTCATCTCCATAACAAAAGTTAGAAATCTACTAACTGAACAACTAAAAAAGTTGAAAAGAAGAAAAAAAATGAATGAGATTATAAAAGTTGCAACAAAAAATGAATAAAGAACACATTCCCGAAGCTGAAGGTACCAATAAAATTACTTAAGTTCTGAGAAACAAGAAAAGATTAAGTCAGAATACCCTGAATAGAACATAACAAACAAAAAATTTTAACCAAAGATTCTGGCATGGTTTATTTATCAACTTCAACTGATTGCCCTGCCTCCTTTGGCTCTAAAGATTAGTTAGCTAGAACTCCCAAAAAAATATTTCATAGACTTCTGTTATACACAAAATCAGAAACAACAAACATAAATGGAGCTTACATAAAGATGCATATCAGCATATGCGATCGTCAACAACAAAACACAAAGTTTGGAACATAAGCAACTGCATTCTTAACAATGCACATGGAGTCCTCTTAGGTGAAACATAAAGGTTGCATTTTCCATATATGCTTGACAATTAGTCAAATACAGCATGAAATTTCTGAAGGAATACCATTCCTAGACCAAGATATAGACTTACATTGAGGTATAACTACAACAAAAAAAAAAAAAAAGAGAAGAATCGAATGAGAAGAACATAAATTGAATTTCCTATCTAATCATGAGATTGACTTTGGCCAGAATCTAAACAAGAAATCAACTGTAGACAGAAGGATTTAAGATTACCTCAAGCACTGTGTCCATCAATCTTCACTGGTCCAGATAAGAAAAACCTCTTTATGATTATTCATTAGTTACAAATATAGAGCTTTCCAGTGCCTTCATCAACCACACGGCCCACACCATAATCGAGGCTAATCTCCTTCAGGGGAGGGATAGTCTCTGTTGCAAAAAGCATGAGATGAGGGAACATCAAGTTGTTGTGATCATACAAGACAAACTGCACCAGCACATTTGGAGTAGAACTATGACTCATATAACAAGCAACATTCCTCATTCTTGATACATCCATGGCAAAATCCAAAGGTGGAATTGAGGGAAGCGAAGGACGCACATACTCAGGAAATACTTGAGACAAATCCCCCCATTCTATCCATCTACCAGAAAAGCGACCTGGATAAACCAAAGTATCACCATCCATTGAGAAAACCTCTGCTTGCTCCCTGGTTAGAACAACTCCTGCATACTCGCATATAAAAGATCCAGCTTGCATCAAGTCCAAGGACCTAACTCCCCAACCTGTTTCCCTTGACCTAAACACTTCCAATCTATTTCTCAAACCTCTTTGAGTAACACGATTCCGGCAAGTCGGGGGACACTGACAGAAAGTTCCACATTCAAATATTACCGGTTTTCCCCTCAAGAGAAGGCCATTATAATCATAAGCAAACTCACCACCATTCTTCATGGCACAAAAACATCCTTCAGTACATCCTGACTCACAGTTACATCCAGCGCCATTACCTTCCGGGCTAAAGACATATGGAGGAAACACCGTCCTCACAATATACTCATAGTATAATGGATCATGATTACTGTCAAGGTCGTTATAAAGGGAAACAGGAAAATTCTCCTTTTTCATGGATATATCAAGACTCAGATATCCCACTGGCCTAGCTGTCAAAGGCCCTCTTCTGAGAGTCTCAGCAAACTTCAAAACTGAACTGCCCATCTCTGGTTGCCCCTCCATTCTCAACAGCTTATACTTAAAAACCCCAAAACCAGACTTTCCGATATCAAACCAACAATCAAGAATCCTATACAAGCCATCATAAACATAAAGCTTGCTACTGACACCATTTTCATACTTAATTCCCCTAATCACCCTTACCTCAATTCCGTACTGCATGCTCCTCTCCAACGCAAGATTTCCCCCTTCCAGCTTTTGGTGCATGCATTGCCTAGAAAACTTGTCCTGTCCCCCCTGACCCGTATAGATAATCAGGTCGCCTGCATCTTGATCATCCTCATAGCCACCTGAAACAATAATGCTAGTTGCAATTGGCTCTCCATTCGAGCTCTGGCTAGCCGTAAGATAGTCAATCCCAGCCTGAGGATGTCCATGTAATCCAAGCACGCATAACTCCATTCTGAAAAAGAACACGTCCCCAACTTCCAATCCAGGAATTGAACCTACAATCCTTTTGTCACGATTTAGCCACATCCCTCGATCCTTCATCAAAGCAGCCGCCCTCAAATCACCGCGTGCCCGTCTTCCACTGCCAGGTGCCCGCCTCTCCTCCTCCAACGTAGCGAGAATGCGGAGTGAATCGTAAACCCTCCGAGTCTTACGCACATCGTCCCGGAAATGTCGGATGTCCTCGATTCCCAAATTGGTGACCCGAACGAGCTCCGCGGATCTCTGAAATCGGCGGCGCGAAAGTACAACGGAGAGGTCCCTGTTTTCCTCCTGTTCAGCCACTGGCACAATGGCGCGAGAATGCGGGTCAGGAACCTGAACGTCGCCATCATACTTCTCCAAACTATTAGCAAAAGCGGACCGGAAAAGCTCGGAGATTCGAAAGAATTCCGAGTACAGCATATCCTGGTCCAAGTCGGAGGTGGAGGATTGAGGAAGAGAGGTGAGTTGAGAATTACTGAGGAACCTAAGGGTAGAATTGGAAGACTCAAAATCAGAGTACCCCTGACAAGGCTCTGGTTTAATTGGGGGCAGCTCATCAAAGGGTTCTTGTTTCGGCTCGATCTTGGGGATCAAGAGAGCAGCGGCGGAAGAGGAAGCGGCGGTTTGGGGGACTTCCGGCGACAGATTCAAGTCTTGAAACGGCACGAGAGAGCCCATTTCTCCAGCAAAGAACAAGGAAAGGAATGCGAGCGGGGTGAATTGAGAGAATGTGAGGGGGTTTTGCAGGGTTTTTTTCAAGGTGCTTTCATGGCTGAACCAGAGAGAATTGAGAAGGGAGCGGAGCGGAACTGGAGACACAGAGAGAGCTTTCCCGTTCTGAGTTTTTCTTAGCTTTGGATTTTCGCACATTCGAGTTTCTATTAAGGAGGAAGAATATTTTTTTATGACAAAAATGCCCTTAATTCTGCGTTTGGGATTCCGCTTTCTGAGTTCAGAAGCTGTTTTAAAAATTGCGTTTGGTGGGAACCGATTGAGTCAGAAAGGAAATTACAAAAAAAATTGAATTTCCCGCACAGCCAAAGCTCACGACGCTTTCTTTTTCCCTTAAAAAGAAAAGGTTTCATGGCATGTTTGGCAGGGCATTTAACGTCCATTATAAGGAAAA